TCGTTTATAGTGAACATGCTGCTATGCTAGAAATCTACTATGAGCAAATGAGCTACGAGGTTCTGCGAGAATCTGAATCGTACTCATTCGTAAATCTCATATCCGACATCGGAGGACAGATGGGGTTATGGTTAGGTAAGTGCTTTGCAGTACTTCGAGTCGCAACCAAGATCTGAGACGTTTTCTCTTCAGGAGCTTCGGTTCTGACTGCCATCGAAATCCTTATTTTTCTCATCAGCGTGGTTTCCATTGCCTTGGGAACTCATTTGAACTACGGTGACAAGAACAAAACCGCTGGAAAGAAGTCACGTGACGAAGACGTTAGTCGAAAAGCATCTACGAAAACTAATTACGAGGCTGAATGACTTCGTTAAAACAAAACTGTTAAGCGACCATTATATGTTTATTTAAGTCGATCTCATTTGAATTGCTCCGCGTTCAAGTGAACGCCATATTGTGAATCTCACCATTACGAGTATACGAGTTCGAATGCGTTTTCTTTTGTTTTCTTATTGCAATTTTCGAACTCCATTATATTGCCACTATTCGATTGAATAGAAAATAAAGCATTGCTTTTTTGTGGTGAACATCCATAAACTTATGTTACATAAACTGACATACTTAATGCTTTTTTTCAGTTGTTTCCGACAATGAGCTACACATTTTAATAAACTTCTTTATCTTGCTTTTTGCAATTCATTTATCCCTAACTACTATGTACTCAGCAAGAAGCGAAGATTGTGTGCTTTACGTCAAATACCAATTCAAATTTAAGAAATTGTTGAAGAACGTAGATTTCTTTTTATAGGCACCTTCGAGAATATTACGGTGAGCTACATGAATTCTTCTGTTAAAGGCAGCGTCTCTTCAAATTGGTGACTTCTGAAATTTGACAACCTTGTGATGGCGGACAAGGTTAACATTAAAAAAAATGAAGGTTGACTAATCTATCAGTGAAGTTTGAAGAGCGAAAAAGCGCTTCTAGAAAGCCCAAAATCCACTCC